CCCCCCCCAAAAAAAAAAAAGAGACATTTCCATGGTGTGTTTGACCTGAGCAGGTCCAAGGGAACCCTAATTATGCACCACATCCCCTTGACACCAGGCACAGAGCTGGAGAACTTCCCTCGGCCTCGTGCAGGCCCTGCTGCCTTTCCTGCAGGCCCAAAGCCCTTTACAACCATTTTGCTCAGTTTTTGCTTTAGCCAGCACACTACACGATCTGGGTCACGAGCAGCCAGTCCTGGGCAGTTGGTGCACAGCGTGTTTGGCTCTTGGGGTCTGCTCAAAGCCCCCCCCGAGACCCCCCACCCCCCCAGACACCTGTCAGTGGGCCCAGGCAGCCCCGTCTGCCTGCACCTGCCTCAGTTCAAGGCAGGTCCCTGTGCTGGGGGAGCAGCAAGGGGGGCCCAGACCCCAAAAGCAGCTCAGGGGACACACAAGGAGAGCGAACACCTTCTGCTTAAGGTTTTTTTTTTCCTTTTTTTTTTTTTTCCCCTCAGAAAGCAGCACCAGCTGCCCCCACTGCTACTGCAAGCCTGAGGCAGCACCATGGATACTTTCCAAGAGGCGTTTCACAAGATGGAGAAGATCGGGGAGGGCACCTATGGCGTGGTGTACAAGGCCCGCAACAAGCGTACGGGGCAGCTGGTGGCCCTCAAGAAGATCCGCTTGAACGCGTGAGTGGGATAACACCTTGGCCCTGGGGCTGCCATGGCCCAGCCCGGCCCAGTGCCCACCAGGCCGGCCATGGCACCAGGCCGGCTGCCCACACAGCACGGCAGCAAGAGGGGGCCCAGCTGAGAGGGGGGGATGAGGAAGGCAAATGGCTCCCTGGGGCCGGCAGTGCTATCTGTGGGGAGATGGCCGCCAGCTGAGCCTAGCAATGCCCCAGCCCTGCCATGGGAGCAAGCAGGCAGGCTGTGAGCCCAGCCCAGTGTCCAAAATGGCGCAAGAGGCTCAAAAAAGCCTGACATGAGGAAAAAAAATGTCTCTTATCAGCTCATGCAAGCAGCTAGGGCCTCATCTGGCACTACCTGGCCCTGGCTCCATGGCACAGGGCAGGGGGAAGTAGCCACCATTTTGGGAGGTGGCCTCTCCCTCGGGGGTGTGATGCCAGGGCATGGTGAGGCTCAGCCTCCAGGCAGGGCCAACTTCAACCCCTCCAGGGTGGGGTCTGAGCAGATAAAAGTTTATTACTATTCCCCTGAGTCAGCCCTGCGCTGTCTCCACAATGACGGGTGTCAGTGTGGACTGGGGGCCGTGATGGTAGGTCTGCACCCCATGGTGGCCCCTCAGGGCAGTGGAGGGGGCTGCCTGAGGGACAAAGAACTTTCATCTGCCACCTCCAAAAAGTGAGGCTTGGGTATTTAAACTGTCATTACTTCTCCAAATGTGCTCTCAGGTGCTCCCAAACAAGTCCCCAGAGTTTGCACTGTCTAGGTGACACCCTCCCTCTCCTCCTCCACAGCTCTATTTCCCCCTGCCTCACCCAGTCCACCCCATGCATGGCTCTGTCCCAAACTCAGGGTACCCAGTGTAACAGACCCTCCCCTGGGCAGGCAATGGGGTACAATGGAAGGGAGAAGGGACTCAGAACTCTGATGGGCTGTGGGATCCCACTGGGGGACAGGGTGCCATACAGCCCCTCTCTGCCACAGGGAGACAGAGGGCGTTCCCAGCACCGCCATCCGAGAAATCTCACTGCTAAAGGAGCTGAAGCACCCCAACATAGTCAGGTAAGACCACCAGCTCACTGATGAGCTCCTGCTCAGGGAGCTCTGGGTACAGGTACCAAGAGGGATTTTCCTGTCCTTTCCTGACTGCACAGACAGGAGAAAAATAAACAAGAAAATGCAGAAATCACTTGCATTTCCCTGGTTCTCAGAAATAGCTCACAGCACTGCCACTTCACTCCAGCAACACAGGATAGTCCAAGCTGCTGCTGCCCCATACTAGATGCTGCTTTTCCATCTGCCTCTGTCTGCTCTAAAGGACTCAGAGGCATCTGTGGGAGGAAGGATATTTGGAAAGGTATGAAGATGCTGAAAAGTACTTAAGGGCATGGTTGCGCTTCTTTTGCAGGCTCCTGGATGTTGTATATGGACAGAAGAAGCTCTATCTAGTGTTTGAGTATCTGAACCAGGACCTGAAGAAATATCTAGATTCATCCCAAACCAGAGAGTTTCCTTTAAGCTTGGTCAAGGTACAGTGTGGAAGAAGTGCTAACAGGCAGGGCAGAGACTGTGTGTCCTTGCTGCCTTCTGCTGGGCAGAGCCAGCACTCAGCTGCTCTTACCCAGACTGCCTCTGGAAGAGATACATCCTTGGCTGGAGACATTCAGCCTCTCAGATCTCAAACATTTCAGCTGGGAAAACGTGGTACCATTGCTCAGTGCATTTATTTCCCAGCTGTTTCCAGGCTTTCCAGCTCATCTCGCTGCAGAACAAACTGGTGTTAAGAGGGCAACTGAGGGATCTGTTACCAATTTCCTTTGGCCTGGAGTCTTTCTGTCCCCATGTAGGGTGGGAGCAGTCTGCGTCCATCTCCGAGTAGTGACCCGCAAGCCTGGTGTTGCATTATAGCAAGGGCTTTTTTCCCTATTCAGGTCTATAAATGATCCAAAGTGTGTTGGTTCATGTGATCAAGCTTTCAAAGTGGTTTCATCATGGCCTTTTCTGAAATCTTTTCTCTCCTTAGAACTACCTTTTCCAGATGCTGCAGGGTGTGAGCTTCTGCCACTCACACAGAGTTATCCACAGGGACTTGAAGCCACAGAACTTGCTCATTAATGAAGCAGGAACAATCAAGCTGGCTGATTTTGGACTGGCAAGAGCTTTCGGAGTCCCCCTGCGCACATACACTCATGAGGTATTGTTGAGGCTCCCTGCCACCTAAGGGTGGAGTACAAAATCCATAGTGGGTGAACAACAGCAGCATCACAAGTTATCCATAATGGAGGCACAGCTGTACCTGGGCATGTGCTCTTAACCTAACCTGCATCTAAGGGGCTACCTCATGTCCCCACAAAGTGTGCTGACTGCTTCTACCCTAGCCTATCTGCAAGCTGGGTTCTCACCTTCTCTGCACAGGGTATATTTATTTGTTCTAGAGTGTCTTGCTGAAGAATGATCTGTTAATCCAAATCTTGCTGTCACAAAGGTGTCTGTTACTTCAGCGTGGCCTTGGCACACACTGATTTGTACAGTCACCACCTTACAGCTGAGGAGAGGATCCCATGCTTCTAGTTTTACCCAGGGAAATTAGACAAAGCTTGTTTGTTGGTTTCTTGCCAGGTGGTGACTCTGTGGTACCGAGCCCCTGAAATACTGCTGGGATGCAGATACTACTTGACTGCTGTGGATATCTGGAGCGTCGGCTGCATCTTTGCAGAAATGGTAGAATGGGTCTTAACAGTCTCTTTAATGAGCAGGGAGGATTCAGCTGCAATGGGAAGAGGGGAAGGAGCAACAAGATGCCAAAGATCTGTGATACTGTGGTCCCACCCTGTGCTGGGGTGTGTTTTATGGGAAGTCCACCCTGAAGGTTAGCTGAACCTTAGCTGTGGGCTCAGAGCAGGGACCTGGCAGAAGGCAAAGAAGCCTCTGTAATCCAGTTGCAGTTTCAAGTACACAAGAATGTGATGCCTCTCCTTCCAGAAGGGTAACTTCTGTCTTATTGCTGCAGCATTATGATCCTGGGAGGAGATGACTCTCTTGCAGATGTCCCCACAGCAGTTTGCAGAGAACTAGCACTCTCATAACATGGCAGAGTGGATCTCTGAGGGGGTCCATACTGTACTTTGCAGAGCTTTTGCTATCCCTGCAGTGTAATAGCACTATCTCTAGCTCCCAAAGCCCCCAAGCTGCAGATCAGCAGAGCCTGGGCAAATAAGCAGGGAGGGAGCTAGCCTGCAAGTGAGAGTGTTAGAAAACTCGAGACAAAGCCCTCTTTGGGGCCCATCTAAGGGACCGACTGAAAGAGGGGCAGCCTCGGGGAGGCACAGATCCATGGAGAGGAGCTGGAGACAAGCAGACACCTGTGACTATTCCAGCCACTTCCTGGAGGAACAGCTGCATTGTAACTGCCCTGGTCTGTGCAGTTTGCATCTGCTGGAACAAAGGGTTGCTTGCAGTGGGAAATAGGGCACACAGCCAGAGGAAAGGTGGTAACTGGTGTGCTTTTTTTCCCCCCAGCTTACCAGGAAGGCCCTGTTTCCAGGGGACTCTGAGATCGATCAGCTCTTCCGGATCTTTCGCACCCTGGGCACTCCCACTGAGGTGACCTGGCCTGGGGTGACCCAGCTGCCTGACTACAAGGGGACCTTTCCTCGGTGGACAAGGAAGGAGATGAAGGAAATTATTCCCAACTTAGATCGAGATGGTAGAGACTTACTGGTGGTGAGTAAGGACTTAGAACAAGATCAGGGACAGACAGGGCCTTTCCAAACTGGGCAAAGAATTATTTGGGAATGACCTACCTGGAAGCATGTTAGCTAATCTGGCTCTGACACTCCTCCCTCTTATTGCAGAAACATGGAATCATCAAATAGGGTTCAGTCCTGGCTCTGAAGCAGGACTGGCATTGCAAGTTCCTCTAGGAAACTGCTGCATTGAGGGTGAAGGAACCCTTCTAGTGTAATCCCCACGGTAATTTCAGCTGGCGGTTACTCCTGAAACCCAGAGAAAGGAAAACAGACCAACATCTGCATCTGGGCCCAGCCATATGAAGGTGCAATTATGTTTTTTAAAATCCTCAATCTGCTGTGTTTTTCCCTCGGCAGCAATTGCTCCTGTATGACCCCAGCAGGCGCATCTCAGCCAAGGCAGCCCTCAATCACAAGTACTTCTGGAGAAGTCCTCAGAGCCCTGAAGAGTGCCGCGCACCGCAGAGACACCGCAAATGAGAAGACACAGCTCTCCCCGTGCACTTCCAGCTCCGGGTAGCAGCGGGACCCAGGGTCTCATTTCTCGGGAGGAGCCTGGAGAGGGACGTTCTTGCATTTAGAGATTCTCAGCCTGTTGCTGGGGGCAAGTTTGTCTGGTTTACTGCTAGCTGTTTTACAGAGGTCATGTGCAAAAGGGTGAGGGGTTATTTATCAGTGTAAAACACTGACATATGTAGATGAGAGAGCATCTTTCAGAGGTTTGTCCTTGTGTTAATCAGCGAGCTAAGGGGACACAGTGACGTCTGTCTGTCCAGCACTGAAGCATCCCCAGGTCTGTCGGTGGCAATTTCTGACACCAGGGTGTGCTGGAGCTCCACGTTGGGCTGGGGAGAGCTTCCCTGCCCGGCCCTTTGCTGCTGATTTAAAAGGCTGGGTTTGTCAGCACTAGACAAGTTGTTTAATCTGAACTGTTGAACAGAGCTGACATTCTGCGGTTTCACAAGCTGAAGAGCCCTGTCAGGTGTCTTAATTTGTGCCGCAGAATGGACTGCGAAGCCAAAAGATCCAATTATCATAAAGCACACGTTGCATTTTGCTGGAAGCAGTAACAGCTAAAACACTGGCTTTCCATCATCCAACCAGATCTAACACTGTTTCCTTTGCTTCATTGTCTTGGGCATGTTTTTGCTGTTCAAATGTTTGAAGAATCGTCAAACTTTTGGTGTGGTTTTGACATTTTTTTTTCTTTCAGTGCAGAAAAAAAAATAAAAGCTTGCCATTTGTTCACAAACCTCGGTGTTTATTGTTTGGCGCAGCCCATTGGACTAGTGACGCAGGACAGTCTGGCTGGTCCTTTTTTCCACAGAACTCTTCTCCCTTCATGACCTCCTGCACTCTTTCTTTTATCCTTTCCAAATCCCTTGCAGTTGCAGAGATGTGCTCTCAATTCTGTTGTGGAACAAGGGGCTGATGGTTCTGCAGCCACGTGCTGTCTTGGTATGGTAAGGTGGGCTTTCTTTCCACCACAGGTTGCCACAAACTAGTTCAGAGTTATATTCTACTTATTTAAATACTCAAAAGACAGGGTTTTCACTTAGGGATGCCAACTTTCTGCACTCCTGTTTTTCATACACGTGCACACACATGTGCTCCTAATAACTGTGATCCCAAGAAGTGATTTCGGCACAACCCGACAGGTCTCCAAAGCAATCACATTCCTAGAGTTTCATGACAGATAAACAATGCAGTAAAGGAGAGAGGTGGCTGCACACACAGCTGTAGCACAAACCCCCTTCCCCACCTACCACATACCAAAGAATGTGCACAGGGGAGAGAAACCTTTGAGTCCCTCCTGAAAAAGCCCCTCAGCCCAAGACCTGCCTGTCTAAAGCCAAGCCCTGTCATCCTTTGCCCTCCTCCATCATTCACTCCTCCTCCTGGCCCAAAAAAAGGCAGTGGGCGGCTCTGCTTAATTCCTGACTTCAAAAAGACTTTTGTCAGCCCTACTGTAGCAGCCGCACTTCCTGACAGATCCCCAACAGCGAAACCCTGGGGCCTGTTGCTCACCTCCCTGCGGCCCTGCCGCACTGCCTGGCTGTACTTCCCCTGCAGGTTTGGAAGCCGCCAGGACCTGGGGAGCTCGCTTGCCTCTGCAATTTGGTTTTGGTTGTTGGTTTTTGTTTTTTTTGGGGGGTGGGTGTTGCTTTGCTTTTGAAGCTGTTGTTAGGAGTCACACTGGAGTGGCTGCCTGGGAAAAGCTGCCCTGCTCATGTTTGGGAGGAATGGCTTTGTGATTGAACAGGGGAGAGGAGGCAGCTGGGCCCATGCAGCATCTCGTGGCCTCTGTATGGTAGCACCCATCCATGTGAGACAGGGGTGAATTTAGCTATGGGAATCATATCCCTGCCTTTTCTATATATTTTAAAGTCAATTCATTTTGTATGGACAATTCTCTTGTTTGCTTTATGCAAACAAATGCTTGTGTTATACCAGACAAGTTGTTTGCAGAAGAGCTTGTTGTTATTTTTTAAAAAAGATCTGCATCAAGAAATAAATACTAAGGACCTTAATCCAGTCCAGAAACAAATAAAAACACTACAGCTCATCTAGCCCAACAAAATGAAGCAACAGGCTGAATTTCAAACGATTATGACCCAACCCCACTGCCAGCAAAGGGAACCAACAACAGCCGTGTTGAAATAACTTCTCTGGGAAAGCTACGATGCAGCGCCATCGCCCTGTGCCCGGGAAGGGAGGAAAGGCACTACCCGGCCCCTCCTGAGCAGACCACAACCCTGCCAGGCAGCTGGGCTCTGGGGACACATCAGGAGGACATGAAATGAGCTGCTGTCTACAGCTGAGGACCACTTGATAGCAAAGAAAAGCATTTTAGTGGGTTTTTTTTCCTAAAAAAAACGAGGCAGGCCAGCCTTCGAGGGGGACTGCTCAGCCAGATCCACTGCTCAGCTGCCTATTCATCTCTAAGCTTTCACCCAGCCTTGGGTAAATACCTCCTACCACGCAGTTAGGGAGCACTTTATCCAAAATGATTAACTGACTGCCTAATTACCGGAACTGCAAGTCCCTTAGTTACAGATCATTCCCTAAAACCATTTCATCAGCACTTCAGGAAAGAGTCACCACGTGAACATTGTACTGCTTTAAAAAAACAAGCACAGTTTTACCTCATTTGCAAGGGGAGCAGCAGGAAGGAGGGCAGCCCTAGAGCCCAGCACCCTGCCCCACAGAGACAGGCAAGGGGAAGGCTGACAGCACACTCACCTGTGGGGCTGAGCCGAGCTGCAGGAAAGGCCCCATTGCTGATGGATCCTCCCTGCTTTCAGCCAGCCAAGGGGAGCAAAGCCAAAGCACAGCAAGGCTGCTCCCAGCAGCTTTGGAGAGCTGGGACCTGCACTGGTCCCAGGCTCCTTGGTTGCATTGGGTCGTGATCCTCACCTGGCCACGTTCCTGTGCGCTGATAGCTGTTGGTCACCCTGGCAGGAGGCCAGGGCAGAGTTTCTCTCCTGATGTGTCCGCTGGTCCCCCACAGCTCAGCTCCAGCCCTTGCTGCTGGTCCAGACCAGCCAGGAGGGGGGTGCACAGGTCCCCATGTGCCAGCAGTGCTCTACCAAGAGGAGACAGGCTGGGAAGGGATGCTATAGGGTGTGTGCAAGAGTTTTCTCCATTGTAAACCAACAACTTGACCCATATTGATCATGGCAGCAGATGGCCACGGACACCAGCCATAGGCCTGCCAATGAAAACAGACCCTGCAGAGCACAGGACAGAGCCTAGGCAGGTCTTGAACTGGGAACTTGGTGTCTCCATAGCTGGAGTCAGATTGTTAATGCTGAGTACCACCTACCAGCAGGAAGGTAATGGGACCTGTGATTGTGCTAAGCTTGCTGGCATGGGAACAATTTCTTCTTGGAGCCCGGACTTCAAATCCCAGCTAGGCTCTATGGAAATAGAGGGTATGCTGCTACTCTGATGGGGGAAGAAGGAGGAGAAAGCCTCTACCCTTATGGATTCTTTTGGGTATATTTGAGTTCCCAAACAGCATCAGTTAAAAGAGCCCTTGGGAGAGGGGCTAGAGCAGCTCATGGCAAGAGAGTTATTTTTCTCATCCTTCAAAGCCAGAGGATGCTCCACAGTGGGGTAGATACTAGGGAAGAACATTTGGAACATGAGACTTGCTCATTTCAGCAAGGGCTGAGCAGTGGAAGTTAAACAAAGGAGTAAAAGCTCACCTAAAGAAATAGCAAGTGGAGATTTTCCGGTACTCCTGGGTGGATCCTGCAGCCAAGGGATGTAGAAAGCAGATTCACGTCACCATTGGCTGCACCTATCATCAGTCTGCTACTGAAGGTCATCCCTTCCCTTGCAACACAGCTGCCTCTCTACAGGTACAGGACAAGTCTCCCAAATCATCGACTTCAACAGGGTTTGGTTTTGCTTGGGGCTTGGCTTCCTCTGCCAGCAGCTCAGTGAAGCGACACAAGTCATTGTACAGCCAACACTGTCACTGGTCTGCAGCCAGAGAGGCACCAGGGACAGGCAGCTGGAGGGTGCAGCAGGGCTGCTCCCCTTGTAGCTGCCTGCACTTAGAGTGGATCAAACATGACATGGAACTGCACTCTTTGGTGACCAGGTCCCTCTTTCAGATGTTTCCAAATGACCAGGGAGCAAAGTCCCATTGGTTTTCAGTTTCAAAGACAAATACAACAAAATCTTTAAAAATATGGACATGCAGAAAGAAATTTAGGGGGTTCAGTGCTGTGAGATCAGGGGAAGCAAGAACCTGCAACCCCTTTGTAGATTGGGCTGCAAGGGCCTAGGATTTCATTGGGGGCAAGATTAGCCATGCCTTTGGCCACTTTGCAACCTCAGCCGCCTGCAGAGACAACACAGCCACGGAGACACACTTTCTATGTTTATTGCATGCAGAAGAATGACCCAACTGGAAAACACTTTGGCTCTTCCCCCTTTCCGGGCCTAACCACGTTTAACCTACTGCCAGTGGAGTTCTCGCAGTCAGCCCCCCTTTGCTGTCACAGCAGCACCCGGGGACTGCGGGGACCCCTGTGTCAGGCCCTTACACACTCACGATCACACTTTGTTCCTCGCACAACCAAGCTGTGTTGGGAAGCAGAGATAGCTAAGATAGAAGAGTATGCAGCCCTAAATGCTAGACGCTCCGTTCCTGTGATCGCTGCTGCCTCCGTAGGGAGAGGTGTTTGGAAGGGATGAACTCCTGAAGGAGCCAGATCCAGTACACGCCTGAACCCATTCAGTGCCTGAACCGTGAAAGCTTGGGTGAACGGCTTGCCTGGTGGTACCGCTGATAGCCCTCCGACGTGGCTGGGAGCAGCAGGAGGCAGCTCAACAAATCCTTCTGGCAGAGAGCCATGGCCTCCTTGTAATTTATCTTCTCTTTAGTGACAGGGTCAATGAGATCTTTTTCATAGTTGGACTCATCCTGGAGCCTGTTGGCCAGGTCGCCTGTTATCATCCCTGTCTGGGCAGCTTCCAGCACAGGGATGCGACCAGTTTTCTTGGGATCAATGAGCCCTCCAGTTAGATGTTGGACCTCCAGGTAGGGGAAAGCACTGTCCCTGGTCATCCATCCCTTCTGAACTGCTTCCCCCACAGACAGCCTTCGTTTGGTCACCGGGTCCTCAATCCCTGTGAAAGCTTTCTGGGCATTGAGCAGTCTCTGCATGTAGGTCCTGTCAATCAGCCCCCTCTCAACTGCCTTATGGACAGAGAACCGGTCCCGAGAAATGAGATCTATGATGCCCCCCGTGGCAGCCTGGGCTTCCAGGAGCTTCTGAGCTGTCATGGGATCAAGCAGCTTCTTTGCAACAGCAGTCTTGATGTTGTACTTGGTGTCGGTGGTGGTGTCATACACTCCAGCAATGGGGGAAGTGTCATCACAGAAGCCCTTCTGCGAGGCTGGGGGGAAGAAGCTTTGGGTTTGGTGGGTGGTAGGTGATGAGAGTGGGGATTTGGAGATGATGGAGCCAATGGAGAGGGATGGGGGAGGCTTGGATTCCCCAGCCACCAGCAAGGCGAATTCAGAGATGGGAATCTTGCCATCCCGGTACAGCTGGTACTCCTCCTTTGTGATCCTCCTCAGCCTTAGCGCATCATCGATCGAGTACTGCTTCCCACTTTTCTTGTCAAGGAGAACTGAGATTTCCCCATTTGGGCCCAGGGTGGTGACTTCCTCCCAGTCGCACT